AGGATACTCGACATCAGGTTTGTCAAATTTCATAAAGTCATTTTGATTTTCTCCATTCACTTTTACAAATTGTAAAATAGCGTTGATGTTCAAGGTTTGGGTGACCAGCAGCTGATCTGGTTTATACAAAAATATTCCAGCGCTAAAAAGATATTGAATTTAAAATACCATGATAAATGGAATCATTTTTTTCCAGACGTATTCGGCCGTCTATCAGTTGAGGGAATGTATTAGAAAGAAGAAAGAACTCATTTTAAAAAGTGTCCAAAAATGTGAACTTATGGAAAATTCGCCAAGAAAATCACGGAAATTTCCGTGCTTCCAATTTTCGGTTGGTCCCTCGAATTTTACTAATATACTTGTTCATGCCACCTACAATTCGACATTTTATTTCGTCCAACTATAATGTCTGGGCAGCCACTAAACATACGCAATCACAAATTAGTATGTAAACGGTAGTTTTTCTTTTTGGAATCTTTCATCGATGAAATTCCTCCTTTCAGGATCATCGCGTAAAAACGAATTACCTCAGTATGCAAAATTTGAAAAGAATGCATAACTTCTTCTTGTCTTCATCAAATCCTTGAAGCTTTTGCCTTATTTTTGAAGGTATACGAATATCACCGAAGTCTCTCAAATGAGCGCATGCTCCGGATCCCATACATCCATAATTATTTCAACCCCCCCCCCTCCATTTCTCTTCCAGGTCCACTGAACAGGGGGTCGAAATATTTCATGGATGAAGAACAGGTTCCGCAAGATGATATTTTTAGTTTGTGATGTTGACCTTATTGACTTGCAAGACTTGACAGGAATCCCTCATATCTGCAAAAAAAAAGACGAAGTTTCCTGTGCATTTCGAACTTTGTGCAAGTATCCAGCAGATTTTTTTTTCAGTGGTGAACTGCTGATGTCTGGCTCATTCATCATAAAAAAAAATTGAGCTAGAAGCAAGGGATCGCGAATAATGAGTTACTTTTCAAGGGAACTGCTTTATCGTGAAGGCATTGTATATTTTTTCAACGTTATTGAATCGATTGATGCGATTCTGTCAACTTCGCTTGCTTATTGATGCTTCGAGAATTGCAATCACTGGAAGTGAAGATAAACCTTTCAGGATATTTTTTCAGAATTGGTCACTTACACGTGTCTAGTTGCCGCATAAAGAAACCGTATTATTAAATCTTAATCATGTAGAAGTAGAACTTGCGTATACCAATTGACAGCTGGATAATCAAAATGTCCTGTTTTATGATAAAGGCTTGGTTGAGATTCAATTTACCAACAATTTACTCCCGTTTATAAAAAAAAAAAACCTGTGACGCCAGTGTAGCAATAGACCAAGGAAAGTTACAAAGAAAAAAGGTTAAGCAGTCGCCCCATGAAATTCCCTCCTCTGGTTCTGTTGAATTCTGAGTGTAGATTGTTGAAATCTTGATTTGAAAAAAACTTCCAAAGTTTATACAGTTGAGCCCCAACGAAATTGCAGCACATCACTTCAACTCACACACAATAAATGTTTTACTTGAACCAGGATTGAATCCTGAACCTCCTGGATGTGATTCTTGCACTGACACAAACAGCTACAGATGCCAGCATATCTGTGGGTGTCAGCACAGGTTCATGAGTCATCACTGCACAAGTCCAATGTTTTTTGGATTTAAGTAAGAGTACAAGTAGATGCACATCCAAATGCCACACACACATCCAAGAATCAGGATTTCTTGGATATGCACAGACTATAGAGTAAAAAAAAAAATGCAGAAATCTTTTGGATTTGTGTATTCTGTGCTCCAAAAATCCAGCAATTCATTGGATGTTTCAGGCTGGTATCAACAAAGAATTATAGAATGAATGTACGCAGTCACTCAGCCATTAATGGCTGGATCCTCCAAAAGGGAGTCCCTTAAAGCTGCACTCTTTAATAGAAGACCCACAGGCAACTGCAGAAGGAAATCTACAAGACTTTTGCACACACTCTCAAACGTCAATCAGACAAGACAATCTCTCAGCAGGAATAATCAAACAACCGCCATCAGGCAATGCTCTCAAAGAAGTGAAGTCCTTGGAGACTTTGCTGGGCTTCTGTTGTTCCCAGATCTTAATCATTAATCACCTGGTTTGCCACATTGCAGTAAACCGGGTGCCAATCCACTTCTGGGTCCAAGGGCTGCTATGTGTGATGTAGGCGTGCCTGAGTGAGGATGCTGTGCTTGGGTCACGCCGCGTGTACGCAACCCTACAGGATGTGTGCATACTGATGTCTTCATATGGAAAGATTGAGCTGTTTGGACTAACACAAGCAAGTTTTGACTACTTTAGGACTCATTACTGTATTGTTTGACGTTTGGATGAAATGTGGACCAATTTTGGATAAATTAATGAATTTTGATGCAATTTGGAGGGGAAATGGACAAATTTGTGTTCACTGGATCATGTGTGCTCAGTACAGCAAGACTTGTTTGTGTTTTTTGCTTCTTGAGCTCCTTCTGATGCAAAAAGATAAGATTATGTGCATGTTTTTTCTGCAAAGTTATTTTCTGTATCTTGAAGTTTAAAAAAAAATTGCTTCTACCTTTGAAGGGAGTTCCAGCTTAGAAAACAAGGTCCATTGACCAATTACATCCACATTCCGCGTTCCCACTCGAATCAATTTTCTTGTTCAGAAAGCATGTGCCCCGAAATCATAAATCACAGAAATGAATGCTGTTTAATTAAAAATTTCATCCCTAAAAAAAGAGCTACCAGGGCACAAAACAGAACATATTTCCGCAGAATGCGAATCTTTCCACTCGACTCCCAGCGTTTCGGAAAATCAGTAAATTACTCATCTGAAGACGACGTCTATAACAGACAAAGCTCTTTGAGTTGAGTACATGTATGTGTGGTACCCGAGGGGGGTGCATTCGGAGGGGTTGTGTGGAGGGATTCTGCATCCCGGAATGAGCACCGTAATCACACCACTTCGCTCTGTACATGGATCTCCCACAGCTTGGGCATTTGTTCATCCGCCCAGGACACGTTGAACCGTCAGCTCATTTTGGTTGGCAGGCAAAATGAGCGCCGAGCCCTATACTGAGCACCACCCAACTTTGTGGCAAGGATTTTTAGGATAAACAAAATCCTGGGATTTTTTTACTATCCCATTTCTATGACCCTGCCTCTATTAGAGGCCAGCTAAAATTCCCTTGAAGCTCCTCTGAGACCTAGCAATTATAAGAGACCAGCATCTATTGGAGACCCTGCATTGGTTGGAGCATATACAGTAATTTCCCCCCCCCCCCCCCCCCCCCCANGTTTTTTGATCAGTAATTTCCCCCCCCCCCCCCCCCCAGAAGATCTCTCATCAGATGTTCAGACAAACGAAATCTGAGAATTTTATTGTAAACAATAACATTCTATTGAATGTTCTTCTATCTGAGAATGTTATTGTAAATAATAACGAAAGGAAGATTTTGATTGATTAAAGAAAGTTTTGATGTGACAAATTTGCAGGTCATTAATTTTGAAAATTTTGTTATGAGAAATTATTCAGCATAACATGGTTACAAGACCCCAAAGATTTTATTGTCCTTGATTCATACTGCCGTCAGTTCACATACGATTTTCAAAATGCCATTCATCAATTAAAAGATACTTTCATGAAGCTCTGATGCAATTTTGTTTCTCTTTTTCCATTTTTGCCTCATCATAGAAAACTTCCAGAGAGAATCAAACATTCATCACTGCAATATATCCTTTGATGCTTTGACTATCTTACAGATTTAGGTGGCAATGCAACTGATGGAAGGAGTAACATTACATCCAGACATGCCAGGCATTTGTTCCTCTTGAAAAATTCGAATAATAAATTCAAGAACATTTGTCTCTTTGATGCTGTAATTTTCTTTTTGTTATCTGGGAGGGGAAGAAATTATATGCATTTACATCAGTTGCACAATATTGTAAATTTTGGGTTGTATTTTCTTTTATTTCAATATCCACATAGAAAAGATAGTTTGTAAAAGACGATAAACTGCCACTTGCGGTCATCTGATGCATTTTTTTCTTTTGCTGTTCAATTCCTTATTAGTGTCACTACATTTTTCATTGATTATTCAGCTACAGAAGGAAACAAGAAAAGACCTGGATTACATTGAATCCCCTGCACTGAAGTGAAGTTTAATTGATCAAGAGCAGCTGAATTTGCACTTGCATGCTCTATGACTTTGAGGGTTATATGGTAAACTTTTTTTGAGTGTACTTCAGTTGAAGGCATTCACTGAGATCCAGGTCTTGTTCTTGTTTCCTTCTGTGGCTGAATAGTCTTATGAAAAATTTATTAGACACAAATTGAAGAGCAAAAAAAATTGCACCCGCCTCCAATGCAACAAGTGACTTTTCATCATCTTTTACAAACCCACCCTACGTCTTATTTTTATACAGTTAATCCTGATATGATGGAATATGCGCTTGGATGAATATGGATGGGGGGGGGGGGGGGGGGATTTGTATGTGGGAACATTGCTTGAACCTTGTGTTGAGGAATTAATTGACCCAACATAAAGAATTGAACCATAGCGCAGTGGAAGAAAAGGTGGAAAATAACAAGGCAGGGCAATCAGCCAGTTTGCAGCCGGGAATATGTAATTAAGGGGGTACCTCAATTACATATCCCTAGTTTTGTCTGGTTTAATCACAGTCCACAATACATCACAATCAAACACAATACAAAAATAATGCATCACAATAAATGCAATAATGCAACACACATTCAATAAAAACAAATAAATTTTTGCACACAAATTTGGGGTGCAATAATGCAAAGCAACAATTCAATCAGAATAATTAGGGTTGGAATGTTTTGAGGGAAGTTTACTGTAAGAGCTAATTTTAAGGACTGATTATTGGGAGTGGAAGAGTGCTGGGTTTTTATGAAATTTAGCACAATGCTTCAGTCAGCTGATCTGACCAAAGCATTGGACGTTTTTTCTTGCCTTTGATTGGCTGGAGAATTGTGAATGGAAGAAGTCACACATCCCCCGAGCGGATGCACTGTGCGAAGGAAAACGGGACCAGAATTCAGGTCCTGGGACCTGACGTCCCTGGACCCCAGTTCTGGTTCCCCGACACCTTGTGAATGCCAAAGAGCGAAGAATAAAGCTTGATGATCAATCAGTAATCTCTGAGGTTTTCGGCTATTTTACAGATTCATGTGGCAATGCTCCCACTGATTAAGGAAGGAGTAACATTAGATCCAGACCTGCCAAGCATTTGTTCCTCTTCAAAAATTCGAATAAGAAATTCAGGAGCAGGTGTTTCTCTGGGATGGCTTCACTGAAATACCAGGGATACTTGCCCACCTTTTTTTCATAATGGTACCATGGTGCTCCTCTGCGTCTCACATCAGGACGCGTGATGGTACATACATAAGCACAGCTGATGAAGGGTTTCCTGCCATGTGAATCCAAATGCGTCTCTATCCAAGTGAAGAGCCAGTAAAGGGAGATACATAAATATGTTGAAACATGCGTATTATACTAGCATATACATACGAAATGGGTCACTCTTCGGGAAAGGAAACCCCCGGTTTTTTCTCCTCTCTCTCTCTCATCCAGGTCCAGCAGGTGCCCATTCCAATATAACTCTGGGCAGTCGCAAAATACCCGGGCCCTGTGATTTTCTCCTCCTGCAAGCAGTATTTCTCGCATTACCCGGCGGGGACGGGTTGTGAATAACGCGGGGTTTGCATATGGATTCGGGTACTATCCCGACAGCCCGCTGCATGCATGCAATTTGCATTTACGTCAGTCTGGGCTCGTCGTCGAGCTGATGGCTGCTGCTGCTGCTGCTGTCTTTGGATTAATTTTTTTTTTTTGGTTTCAATTTTATTCCTGGCTTTTGGGTTGCTTGTAAACAAGTCTCTCATCGATTGCGATATGTCACGTAACTCTCCACCAGATAGGGTTTTTTTTCTCTGTTCTATTTTGTCACCTACTCTAGGGAAAAGAAAACTGACAAAGTGAAGGAGTGTCATGTGACTAAAAAAACGTGGATTTAATTATTTCGTGGAATTGATTTTCTCAGTGAAAATTGGCGATGCTGCTTGACTGATATTCTGCGTCCTTTGGATTTTGGAGTGTTGTTAAACTGTGGGGCCCCGAGATTCGGACGTAATTGGTGGTTGGACCATGTCCCGATGTCCCTGTGTCTGTATGTTGGATCACGTTATCCCATATATTTTATTGAGATTATATTTAATTGGTTCTCCTGTTCATCGAAATTTATGATTAAAGTTCAACAAAATGGAATAAAGCTCTTTTCTCAAGGTTTAAGATGCAAAACAACCTCGGCAGAAGAAAAAAACAAACACAGAATCTGATCTTTTGGCATGGAAAAGAAGCTCAAGAAGCAAATTGAAGAACAAGTCCAGCTATGTGACTGCTGTCAGTGCTGTGCAAGGTACCGGGTCATCCGCCAGTCGGTCAATTGACGGTCGCAAACCCGCCGGTCGTCAAGCGCCGGTCGGTCCAACCGCCAGCCAGGGCAGTTCTTGGCCTCGCGAATCCCCAGTCCACCAAACCGCGGTAGATGCAAAACAACCTCGGCAGAAGAAAAAAACAAACACAGAATCTGATCTTTTGGCATGGAAAAGAAGCTCAAGAAGCAAATTGAAGAACAAGTCCAGCTATGTGACTGCTGTCAGTGCTGTGCAAATATGATAGAAAAAGCTAGAAAATGAAGTACAAAATTGGCCTGTTTTTTATATGATGAATTAGAGTAATTCTATGATGAAATGTATATTTGATTGTTGTGAATATAAATAGCTCAATATGTTCAAGAATTTCAAGATACATAAAATTTCGAAAAATAAAGTGCAAACATTTTTAGAAAAATGTTGGAAAAGTGTCCATGTCTTAATATAAGACATTCCTCTCTGGCTGTTGGGGCAAATTTTTAAAGTTTTGAGTATTCCCCTAGGTTGAAACCTATTTTTTGTGGCGTGCGTATGTGTCTCAAAATATTCTAAGAAGATTATTGCGTTTTAAGATGAAAAGGGGAGTACGTGGCGTTTGAGGAAATCAGCTTAAAGCGCAAAATGTCAAATATAAATACAATAATCGATAATTTTCATGCAATATACATCGTGTTTCATCTATTTCTGCAAGATTGGTCTACTTGCATTATTTCCACCTCATCAATGACAAGGGACTACTCTTATTTAGATGGTTTTTTCATCCTACTGTTTACACAAATCATTGCGATCCCTCAAGTGTAATCGAAACTTTTGTAATAAATTAATTCAGGAAGAAAAAACCATAGCTGATTTATTGTGGTATCCGAAGATTGGTGCTGATGAAAATTAACTTCCTAATTTTTTTTCAGCGAGAGCGATAGACGATAGGATCGAGTTGTAAATTTGAAAATCAAAAGAGGAAGGTATCATGGGAATTTTGATTTCAAAAAATTTTGGACAGGGATTTGTTTTGGGCAGCGCTTAAAATTAATGCAAGTGTAAAAAATAGTACTTTCTTATATAAGTACTGGGCAGAACTGTACTTCCTTCACGCACAACAACCTTCAATCCAGCAAGTGATGAAAACTAAAAGGGAAAATATAATCATGTCACGAGACGCATTCTAAAATGAATTATTATTTTGTAGAATTTTGAAGCAAAATAATGTACAGTAATTCTATTCCAACAGCTTGATGCCAATGAATAAAATAAATTAAAAACGATACATTTTAACTAGATCAAAGTTTGCTGGTCTCATATCTTTCAATGAACATGTCTGACTTCCAGAATTCAATTGCTTTCATTCCATTTCGTCCAACTCTAACAATAATTATCGATTGCATTCGTCATGCAAATCAAATAAAATTGCAAAATCGACTGATCTAGAAGAATATTCCGGAAATTTTTCCAAGTAAAGCACATTTTCTAAGAACAATCAAGTCTCATTATTAAAATCCAGAGGATGAACATTTCTCTGGGCTTTCCTCACGATCAAATAATTCGATTCAAGAAAATTCAATTTGTACATTTGGGATAGGAGATAATGAGATTTACATTTCCTTCAACTATGGACGATATTATTGTGCGTGGGAAGAAATTAATTTTGCTTGCATCGCTGTTACTAATGGATTGATGCATTCTATCATAATTTTCTCTTACGTCAACCAAGATTTAAAAACACTCTGGGCTCTGAATAAATTGTTCAAAACTTGCATCAAGTGATTTCTTGTCAAATACAATGCCAGCAAATCACATCTGAGTGAATTGCAAAAAAATCATGTGGTTTACAGGTTGTTGGGGAATAACTTACCACAACATGAATCTGAAGAAATTGCAAGTGAATCAAATTTTGAAGAATAAATACAAGTTCAAATAAAACTCAGAATCAGCCTGGGACAAAGCCACGAATCCTTCTATGATTTCCTGATTACATATTTGCATTCCAAATAATCCACTGCTCCCACTGAAAAACATGTTGAACATCAATTTTTCTCAATCATAATCTTGAGATTCCCGAAGTCAGGGAAGAAAAACATTGTTTTCGCTTTCTGAAAATAAGCCATGTAAAATTTAAAATATTACATAAGGGATCGCGTTGATTTTTCATGAGGAAAATGAATTACAATTATCGTCAATTATTGAGGTAGTAATATGGTAGCACCAGCAGTCTAGCAGTATTCGTACGAATCATCCAGCATTTTAATGCTCTCGAAATGGAGGAACTTTTAGTGAAGTTTTGAACAAGAAATCGTGATAGTGAGAGAAAAACAGCGCAGAGCAGTTTCTCTTGGCATAAGAAATGAATGAAATTCTCCTGATTTCGCAGGTGGGCGACCAATCAAAAGTTCATGGTGACAAGTGACGAAGCCTCCTGTCTTTTATTTCTCGAAATTGCCGGCGAATCGCTGACATTATGAAGGTTACCTTTCTTGTCAAAGAAACTCATTCTGAGAAGCTCTGTGTGTGAAAGGGAAAATGCCTCAATTTTCCGCGCAACTTTCTTGAAGGAAGGTACACATTGAAACTTGGCATTTTTTTCCCGACTTTGCCCTTGAAAAAGAAAAGTTCCGGTCTTCGGCGTTTTCGTTTCGAATCTTCATCACCACGGTGAGTGACACTTTTTGAATCCGGAAGAAAACCCAGTGTTCGAATGTAAAATTAATTGAAATTTTCTGCTGGGACTCAAGTAGAATCAAAGGGACGTTTATTTTTTTAGGCGTTCTCGTGCTTATATACAAAAAGTTACCTGACGAATTCCTCATTGCTGATAAGAATTTTGAAAATATTTGTGAGTAGCTTCTCAATTTGAACTTGATCGAATATAATTCGCCAAAAAAATTGAACTGATTTTCACTACTCCATTTTATACATGTATACCACAAAAATATTCACATAAAGTTTAAAAATGCAAACGAAGGTCACGTATTTTTTATGGAGTGATATCGATTTTTCACGCATTTTCACGAGTACCAAGTCACCTAGAAAAATGAAGAGAAAAGTTGCTAGATGATTTCTCAGATTGATCATATTTATTTTCGGTGGCGGAAAATAGTTAGTGAGACGGCACTACCTTTTAAATTTCAACATGTGCACAACCTTAACTCAAGACATTATTATATTTTCTCAGATGCTCAATTATTTTTCCAACAACTTTGGTAACATATTTTCGCAAATATTCAAGAATCTATATGTACTGTACACACGAAAGCTTGAATCATGCATACAGGAAACTGACTGCGTGCGAAAGAAGGTGCATTTTCCATCACGCTCTAGTTTCGGCACATCATATGCAAAACAAATTTCGGAAAAATTCAGCATGGCATGCAATCGAGTTTTCTTGACGTGTTCGCAGACAGCAATGGACGAGATCCCAGTGATCTTGTCGAGTCCAGCTGACGACAACCGACGACAGTCTGAACTCGACTGTCTCCGATTGCCCGACACCAACAACCGCGCCAAGTCCATCGAGTTTCTCTGTCGCGACGGCGAAGAACTCCTCAAGGTCAGCAAATTTCCCCTTTTTCGTAAGAAACCTTCAGAAATCATTTCTGAAGATTGCATCATGCGAAATTATCATGATGGAAAACTTCCATCATGCGGGAAAGTGGAATGATTATGTGGGTACATCAGGAATCCGAATTATTCCGCGGGAAATTCCCATCGTCGAATTTTTTTTTTGTCTTCAGGTTTAGAACAATAAGTTCCTATTTCACACATTGAAAGATCCATAGTCGATATTTCTGAAATTCAAGAAGCGAAAGGGACCTTCATTTGAAGAAATGGTAGCCCGAAAAACAGGGATTTGAAATTCAAATTGGTTTTTGTCTCATTTTTGTTTTTGTGAGCAATACGTTTCTCTAGCAAGTTTGAAGAAGAGTTTCTGCCGATATTTGCGAGAAATTGTGACTGCGTTGGTTCTATATGTGCACAAGATGTTGCGGAATAACTTACCGCAGCATAAAGCTGAGAAAAAGGCGATGAATTGGAAAATTAGAGAAAAGCAATTCTATAAAATGCTTGATAAGTCTCGGGCAAGGCAGGAAATCCTAATTGGATTCCTGGTTTCAAATGTATTTTGATTCGTTTCCAACGATTCAAGTGAAGATATTGAAAATAAGACAAACACACAGCAACTCAATGAAAAAACAGCTCAGAAAAATTCGTTGAGCAACAGAAAACTTTTCACCATGAAGTTTGAATTGCAAATGCTTTGTTTTTTTGCTGGAAAAAGAGAGGAACAGATAAGATTTCATTGTTTTCCTGATTTCATTGTTTTCAAAAAGAGGTTTGCCTTCATAAGAGGTTTTTTTTTTAAATTGGTGAAGTTGTGTGGATGCATCACAATGAACAGTTTTATTGATCACTAATGTTCAAGTTTTTGAGGATTTCCTTGTTCCGGTTTTTATATTTTATCTGATGTGTTTTCCTTGATTGACAAGGTTTTTGGTGCAGACGTGTGATTTCCCAACAGAAGGGCCTGGATCCACTTTTAAAACCTACAAGAAAATGCATTTATTCAAATTCTTAACTTCATGGCATTGAAAATTAATCGATGTTCATTTGACGAAGGTTACCATCAGAAGTAAAATTTGCATAATATATTTGCCTTCTCAGACTGAGATCTCAATTCTGTCTGTTTTCTGAATGTCAGGGAGGTTCTCACCGAGAAAATTCAATTTCTTCCTTCAATAACATTCTTGTCATTTCCAATCATGGATGACATCTATACTGTCCATAATTTGCCAAATAACGGAGGAATGTCAACATGAGTGAATTGTGAGTCGCGGTTCACACGAAATGTTTTAGAACGCAGTCATTGGTGTTATAAACTGAAAAAAGGGCAAACCTCATCATATCAGAAATTTAAAAAGGTAAAAAGACCTCGATTCAAAGGAATAGGAGCCTGAAAAACAGGAATGTGAGCGTCAAATTTGTTCATTACCAATTTTTTTTGCGCAAGTTTCTTTAGAAAGTCTGAGGAAGGGTTTCTGCCGTTTTTTGCGGGAAACATGCAGTGACTGTTCTTTGCAGAAGGGCATGGATCCATTTTTAAAACCCACAGGAAAATGCATTTATGCGAATTTAAGGCATTGAAAATGACTCGACGTGCATTTGAAGAAGGCTAACTGAAGCAAAATTTGCATAATATGCTGGCTTTCTAAGACTGGAATTTAAATTCCGTCTCTTTTCTGAATGCCCGAGGTTCAGATCATAAAAATTCGTTTGTTTCTTCGCGAACATTCTTCTTATTCCCCATCTCCGACAAATTATATGTCAGTATCTATACCGACCATATATAATTGCCAAATAACGAAGGAATGTCATAATGGATGGATTGTTAGGGCTTCATCATTTGCATTAAATATATCGGAACGCGGTCATATTTTGCAGTGTTTCGTAGTATGAACTATAATGAGATCCATTTTCCCAAATTCTGAATTTTTGAAATGAAAAGTAACCTCGACTTGAAGAAAGAAGAGCCTGAAAAACGAGGCAATGAGAGTCTGAAGGTGTCTGTCACTACTTTTCTGGGTGCAAGTTTCTCAAGAAATAAGTCTGAAAAAGAGTTTATGCGATTTTTTCAGGAAATTGTGACTGCATTTTTTCTACAAAAGAACCTGGATATGTATTTTTTTTTTACCCGCAGGAAAATGCATTTATGCAAATATTTGACGCTAGTCCTTGAAAATGACTCGATGTGCATTTAAAGAATGCTATTTGAAAAAAACTGATGCTTTTCTGAAAAAAAAAAACATCGAAATATTTTCTTTCTTTGCTTTTCATTTTCTTTTCTCCAGAGAAAATGTGCCTCGCAAGTTTCTCTAGCCAATTCTAAAGTATTTCCCCGCTGATTGTGAAGTGTGATCCATCAATGTTGGCATCCCTGGGTTATTTGGCGAATTAGTTAGTGGATCCCTTCGCGGAGATGGGACCAGCCAATGGAACCCGAGCGGAAGTTGGGTCAGAAATAGAACTCATCATCAATAGACTCCAATGGCCCGAAGCCGAGTGGAATTTAATGCAGTGCATTCATTCCGCGCTAGAAGGTCGGAATGACATTGATTCTCTAATTCAGACTCGAAGCGAAATTTTCTCCATAGTAGGAGAAAATGTTAATGTACTGCCTCAGGATGCCAAAGTTCTCCAAAGAGCTTTTCAAAGGATTCGAGGATGCTGAAACAATGCAAATTTGCATCCATGTTCATTCACGCATGACCAGGGTTGTTAATTGCAATCGAAAATTTAATTGCCCAATTGCAATTGCTGTCCATCCAGAAAATCATTCCCCAATCAAAATTTCGCTGTCAATATGCATTAATGTTTTCAATCCTCAATTACAGTTGCAATGGATTTCTTTGTTCAGTATTATTGCCCAATTGAAATCAAAAGTGTAAGCACAACTCTTTTCAGGATTTCCATCCTCTGCTTGTTATATTTATTGCAATGATTTCCTAATTCATCTCAAATTAATACTGAAGAATCTATCCTGTCAATTGATGAAGATGTACCAAAAAAATCTTATCAAAACAATACTTTCGCACCACATGGAAGAAATGTTTACTTATTCCTTTTGAATTATTCTCACCAGACAAAAAATAGAAAAAATCTGCTTTGGTGAAGGAATAAAGTAATACAAATTAAGAATGAAGCTGAATGGCCTTTCCAAGGTATTATTCAATGAATGAGAACCCAAACTCTTTCATTCAAGCACAATAAGAAACTTTTGAAAAATGCTATGATAAACTTCTTTCTGTGCCAATGTGTCTGAAGTTGCAGCCATAACCTCAAAATATATATATCCTTTCAAAAATCCATACAAAATCAATACACCCTTTTCCATCCAGCAACTCCCACTGTTAATGAACCAACTAATCATTTTCATTGAATTTTGATCCTGATTTAAATCAATTTGTTCAAGGAAAATGTAAACACTGCTGTAGTTATTTGGCACTGGTTGTGATTGTGGTAGTACCTGTTCTACCTCTGTATGAGCAACTGCAAGCCTTAAAAATTAATACTCAATTGCAATCACTATTGCAATGCCTACAAAAATTGTATTGCCCAATCAAAATTGTAATGCTTGTGATTGTGATTTCAATTGTGGGGCTAAGTTGTGGTGCAATTAAAAATGGACTCATCACACAGGAATATGCTTTTTCAATCCAACTATCTTCATTATAGTTTCCACTGCTGGTATTTTTGCTGTATGGGAAGGATGCTTAGCTGAATTTAAATTTTCTGGCATATACAAAATGGTTTTTGGCATTCAAAGTTTGTACTTGATCGACTACTTATTAGTTATAATTCAATTGCATCAAAATCATCAATTTGACGTGTGCCTTTTTTGCTTTCGCTGCTTTTTCCTTTTTTACTGCTCTATATATAATGAGCAACAATGCTGAGAAGAACCGATAACGGACTTGTTTATCTATCTGCACCTTTTTGGAAGAAAGAAAAGAAACAATAATGCTCAATATAGTAGCTAAAATAACCTTTGTTTATCCCGCATTGACGTCATTTCAAAAAGAACTGAACTTGACTGCCACCTGTTTTCATTCGAATGCAAGAAAACATCCCAATATTACCTGTTGTTTGTGCAGCATTTTTGTCGTTTTTCTCCACGGCTTAATTAATTCGATCGAAGAGAAATTTCATTTCATTTCCTGGCACAAGCGTTGCTTGGTGAAATCAATTTCCCTTCAACTTGCTTAAGACTCCCCCAACTTTTCTGGATGCTGCCTCTCGTAAGTTTTACGCCAACTTTCGGCATTCTCATCTCAGAAATGCGGATTCTCTCTTTCATTTCGGGTGCAATTTGAGGTGTTTTTCTTTTGTGCAATCAATTAAGGAACGCGGTAGCTGGTATTTACAAGCAGCACGAGGATATAAAATTAAAGCCCTTGGTTTTCGGCGTAATTTGAAAGCAGGGCTTTTGGAATGGCGAGAATCTCGTTCCGTTTTCTCCCAGCGCTGCTGTGATTCATTTGCAAAAACACTTCAGGAATGTTTTTCTTCTTCTTACTTAGATTGAAGTTGTCTTGCGTGATGCTAAACGAATTCACGCTGAATTTCAAGCATTTGGTCCTTCTCACCGTTTCACTGAATATATTCGCCATTAAGTATTTATTTCGAGAGTGTGTCAACCAAATTTCATGGCCTCTGCCACGGGTTTGAAATTATTTTCGACAGAAAAAGGGAAACCATTTTTGAACCAAAAAATTTGGGACAATGCTCCTCGCAACAAAAGCTTTTTCAGCAGGCGGTGCTGGAATTAATTTGTCTAGATTTTCAGGGTGATTGTATTCTATCCACTGTAAGAAATTATATGCAGTCAAACCTCTATAATAAGCCGCCACTTTTGTCAACTGCCGATTTATTTTTAAAAACACATCTTCCCCAATGATAAAAGCGCTTATAACCGAATTCAAATTTATTGAAAACTATAAATATGCTCCTGGATTTTGTCTTTGGTAGACTGCCAAAAAGATTCGAATTTCTGTAAGATGTTGGAGTACAAAACACAGACACAAAGATGGAATAATATGGTTCTCGGATATAAATTACGCATCCCAGCATCACTTTTTATTGTTCTCTAAAATAATTAGACTCTTATTTCCGATTAGGACTGTTTTTCATAGCTTTCATTTTGAAGAAGTAAAACCAACCCTGTTGAACTGCCGCAAAACTCAGAAGAAATGGTGTCAGTTCTTCGAGGTTCGATTGTACAGTAGTATCAAAGGCAAGGTTGAAACATGCAAATTTATGAACAAAATCCGCCTCGAGAAAACGAGCGAATGTGGACAATACACGGAGATGAAGCAGCAAAACACATTGCTTTTTTTTTTAATATTCAAAATGAAAAAAAGTGTGCGTAAACTTGTTTTTACAGTATTCCAGTTCCTCGCTGGAATAATAAATCCTTTCAGAAGTTTTGCGAGACGGCACCGGGATGAAGCTCTTATATATTGGCGTTATATGTCCGCGAAGATGAGACATCTAGCGACTTTGAATACGAGTATATATGGACACTACCTCACTGTACGTATCTCACAGAATGTTCTTCTTTTTTGTGGACTTGCGTTTCTCTGAAAATACGTCAGAGAGCGAAGGATATTCGGTGAGCCACTCGTATATCGTACAAGTACACGCAACGAGTTTCCGACCTTGTGTGAAAGCAAGAAAAGTTCTCCGTTCGGAGTCACGGAGGAGTGATAAGTTGCGTGGAAAAAAGCTATACAATATCCCAACTTCGACGTGAAGTCCGTGCTATTTGCTATTTTTCTGCAAGAAAAAAAAAATGAAGTGCGAACTATGTGATATATGTGGAGAAAGAAAAACGTGCACTTCTAATTGTGGTGCCTGTACATGGGATCGGAAAAGAAGCGCGCAGGGTTGCCCAAAAATTGAGCCTGTACCTGTCTTTCACTTCCTTTCACATCACTTCCTCACTTTTTAAATTGCTTATCTTTGCTGTGCAAGAAAATAATTTACAAACGTTATTAGAAAATTTGAGTAATGGAGGTTTTAGAGGAAACACCTTCACGCTAAAGTTTAGAATGCATTATTTGTCTCATCTATAAAGTAATTCAGATGGGGACTTGAAAAAAAAATTCTACAATGGAAAAAATGCGTCTTTGCTCTTCGGGATGTTCAAGTTTTTGTGGTTTATCTGTAGTTGGAAGGTTTATTTTGCTCAATCTTTCTGAAATGTCAGGCTCATCTCTTCTGAAAGCTGGTAATGTGAGACTTGCTTCCAAACTTCATTTTATTCTTCTGATTCCAAGAAATAATTTCTTTGCGTTTGGTTTAACAAAATTTTTTTTAAAAGTAAATTGTTCAGTGTTTTTAAGCAAAAAATGTGTGCAAGTGCAACTTTATATTGCATAGTACTGTTTATGATTGACTACTGAGAAAGAAATACAGTAATTTCAATCCACTTTATTAAATTTAAAGTAGACTGAATCAATTACTGTAGGCCTGAGATATCAAGGTGAAAAAAGGAACATCGTCCCAGCAGTGGAACATGACCAACTGGGACATCTGTAGAATTTGTCCCAAGTCCTGGTCTGAATTTCCTTAAAAACAATGCTTTCAAAACTTTCCCTAGCTTGAAGGTGTTCCCTCTAAAACCTCCATTACTCCAATTTCCTGATGCTTTTTGTCTATTATTTTCTTGACAGAGGAAAAAAAACAATCTAAAAGGTAGGGATGTGTTTTGAAAGGAAGTGAATGACTCATTGGGCATGAACCCTTGCTTCCAACTTCAGCATCCTGTCAACTCATTCACAAAGCAATTTAAGGCCCAGATTGTCACTAATCTACCATTTTTTTTCAATTCTTTTATGTTCCCCACTACACAAATGCTTCTTTTCCTAACTCAAAACCTCCCTGAGTCATAGGTTTTGCTTGTCCCTTGAAATTTGTCTTATTATGAGAGGTTTGACTCTATATTGAGAAGAAACTGATGATCTTTGGGACAACTCAATTGAATTCATGAAAAGCATTTTCAAATTTTTGTTCTTGATGAATACTATACAGAACCCATTTATTCAATCAGGGTGAGTGCGTATAATAAGCGAGTTTCCACACAGGGCTATTTGGCATGTGCACCTGATGCAAATCCTCCAAATGGAGAACCAACTTTTCCACGCCTTTATTTGTTTAACAAAGAAACTGAAAAAAATATATGATGTAAAAATGAGGAAAAAAACGTTGGAAAACAAAAACGAAAGAGAGCTGCAGCGAAGATACGTAAGCTGATTCGAAAGGTAAACCCCGGGAATGGAAGTCCCTGCTTTGAATTGAAAGTGCACCCGCTGCAGTGTATAAGCATACTATACAGCAGAAACGCTGAGACACCCGCAACCCCTCCACCGAAAGGTTCTGATTAAAGTCCCCGTCGGTAGAAAAGGAAAGACCCCGGGCATGTCTATCGCAGTCACGACCCCCCTTTTTCCCGGAAAAGGTCAAACCGTGCTCCCTCCCCCCCCCCATGTATATGTTGATGGGTGCTCCAGCACCAGCAGGTCAGGTCACAGCCACGTATATGCGAGGTTGGCTCTTAAGTTCTGAGAATCTTTGAAATAGATCCAACCCAGTTTCAACAATTATGAATGAATGAATGAATGAACAGAACACTTCATTTGCCGCTTTTCAGCGTTCACAAGGTTCAATTTT